CCATCTCAAATGTTTGTCAATCATTATGCCCAAGGACTTGATACTCTCAATTTTGAGTGGATCTAATTTTGGTGAAAAATTTTGGCAAGAACTAAAAGTGAAATATTTGGTTTTTTCAAAATTTATTTTTATATTTATCTTTAAATTATACCAACTATTAGCAGTATATGAAATCACCGTATCATCTGCAAAAGATTGAATCTTCCCTTCAGTTTGCATGTGAAATATATCATTGATGTAAATATTGAACAATATCGGACCTAAAACAGAACCTTGAGGAATACCGTTGATTTTTTTTTGTCACTGTATATATCAATAATTTTAACTTGTTGCGTCTTTTGCAGGAATCGAACTCCTTCGAAACCTTTGCGCCCAAAAACTCCATCTAAAGGTATCGTCTCCGAGTACGTTCAGTAAGGTGAGTTGAATCGCAATTATTTTTCCATTATTTACTTTTTAATATTCTTCTTCAACTTTTGCATTACTCACTTTCTGTAACATGCAATTTCCCTTTTGATTTGTTCTTTCACATATATTTTCACAATTTTTTTTCTTGTCATGGTAAATCAATCATTCTCACACAAGGCAAGAAATTTCATGCTGGCTACCATGCAGAGTGTTTGTTCACAATGTCGCAGTAAGTTTGGATTGTCTGTGGCCCATACTCATTATATGTGTTACTAACATATTGTCGCTTTTACTTATTCTGACAAACAGTAGATTTTGTATGCCAGCAAGGATAGCGATAGATTGGTAGCTGGACAAATAGGTAAAAACTCAGTAATAGCTAATACTTAGCTTAGTTTAGTTATTTCAAAATATTTGTTAGTATAGGATAATTTGTGTTGTAATTTGAATTGCTACATGCGTGGTGACGCTTTCTTCGAATGCTGATTTTTGAAAAAAAAATTTGGATAGGCTGCGCCCGCCGATTTTGAAAAAAATTCAATGTGTACTAACGTATTTTGACTATTCCAAAAGAAAAAATCGGTGCTCTCCCTTATTTCTTGAGTCACAGCTCTTCAAAGTTCCGAAACTTTTTGTCTTCCTTTTTGCACAATACAAACTATAGAATCACAAGTATTTTATTTATCACATCATCTTCACACTTAACCCATTAAACGCCGTTGATGCGAAAACGCAAAGTTATATCAACTTTTTTTTTTACAAAAGCAAGCACCAATATTCTCATTTTTCTTTCATTCTCATGTTTGCAAAAGGTCATTGGTGAGTCATTATTTTTCTGCGGAGATCACATTAGGTTTTTCTTTTTTTCATACAACTTTCAAATTTGCGTTATTTCATTATTCAGTCATCCTATTCAAGATCATCCTGTAACTTCAGGATAGCAAAACATGTTAATCTCGTTATTTGGCATTTTACGAAGGAAATATAGTTCTCGTGGAGTGGAAACAAAAAATCTCAATATATTTGTATCAAAAAAAAATACAGTCATTCAAAAATAATGTTGCGTTCTCGCATCATCGGCGTAAAATCCTAGTAATGGAATTAGAAATGTACTGGAGTAGAGATGAAGACAAACGTGTAGGTGCTTGTGAAAAATTGTATGAGTAGAAACAAATTTCGAAATATAAAAAGAAACCTACATTTGTGTGATAATGCTCAGCTAGACAAAAACGACAAATTTGCTAAGTTACGTCCATTGTTTGATGCTATAAATGAAAAGAATTTATAATTCGGACTGTTTTCACATAACTGGAGTGGTTCAAATTTGAGGAAATATATCGGAACATAGACAATACGTTTTTTTGAATAATAAGGCATCTGATACCAAAGAAATAAAAAACGGAGTCTACCAAGGTTCGGTTTTGGGATCAATTCTATACTTGATTTATGTGATTGATTTCAAAACTGAAGATGACTCTGAGATTACGCAATTTGCTGATGACACATCATTAACGCTCCAAAATACAAATTACGAGGCTATAATTAAAGAAATGAAAATAGCAGAATCGAAAGCTAANCCCATTGTGAAACTTATACATTTTCAAATTTGAAATATTTGTTTTTACCGTATTAGGCCATTGTAGCAAAAACGCAACATTATTTTTTTCATCACTCCCTGTATGAATAATTTTTTTTTCATGGAAGAACTTTCAGTAGGACCTAATGAATCCAATAATGTGATTTTTTTCTTTAATCAACCCCTCATTCATAGCTTGACGGTTAATGAGTTAATTTCACCCTGTTTGACACTTTTCAGTGCACTGATCATCATTATTCCTATAAAAAAATTGATCTAACAATGGATTCTTTTTTGTTGACATATTGGTTGTTTCAAAAGTTTTGTCCGTTTTTATGTGTCTACTTCAAAATGTGATATCTTAGTGAACACTTATTCAATTGAATAGAAATAAGCATCATTTGAATCAGTGCATACTTGTCAACTTAACACAAGTCGATTAATTCCATCAGCATAAAATTTGTATGCTCGGGATTCGATGAAATCGACGAAGGCCGTTTTTGCCTGATCCTAATTGGCGAAGATTCTATTGGTGCGAAAGAGGTCTAGGGAGTATGGTGGGTGAGGTAGAACTTCGACGCTCAATTAGTTCAATTTTCGGACGGTGTTTTGTGAAACGTGCGGACGGGCGTTGTCGTGGAACAACATCGAACCTCTTCTGTTGACTAGTGCCGGCTGCTGCTGACGCAATTTTGGTTACGATCACATCAGCCGCTGACGATCATCCATGGTCTCTTTTGGTGGGTTTTCGCCTTTGGGAAGTGCCTGGATGGCTCATCGGTGCCCAACGTGATTGCGTAAAAGCAAAGAAACGTGACAATTTCTGTCGATTGTTCAAATCGTAGGGCACCCACTTTTTGAGCTTATTGACCTTTCTTATACGTTTTAAACCATCAAAAACCGGATGGGAGCTGACGCCCATTCTTTCACCATTCCACGCGCCGTTTGGCATGGGGCAGTCTCCACGAGGGTCCTCAAATCCTCGTCCTGGACTTCTCTAGGTCGACTACTTCGCGGCTAATATTCGAGGTTAAAGCCTCCGGAATGAAATTTCGCAAAGCAACATTGAATAATGTGTTCATTAACTCATTGCCAAATGCCTGTTAGATTTTTCAGGCTGTTTAGGCGCATGATATTAAAACGGACAAAACTTTTGAAACGAAGTGATCATCTGGTTTTAATCTTCCTCTTGAAGATAATCACTTGGTGATCGAAACACATGTCAAGGTGTTGAAAACTCGAGTAATATTCAACCTAATATTTACTAGTGACATTACAGAAAATAGCAGTTTTTTATAGGAAAAATGTTGATTACTAAACTGAAAAGTGTCAAAGGTGAAATAAGGTGTGAAGGTGAAGTGCTGAATTAAATACTTGTGATTCTATAGTTTTTGCATTTTGCAAGGATAAGGCTTAAAAGAGGCAATTTTCAGAACTTTGGAGGGCTGTAACTCTGGAAATAAGAGCACCAATTTTTTATTTCGTATTCGTAATAGTGATGGGCATAATCGGATGATTCTGAGAATCGAATGATGAGTACTCGAGTGATCCCAAAAATCGAAATATCATTCGAATGAAATCACTCGGATACTACGTTACTCGTCACTCACCGATTTAATTCGATATCCGGCGATGTGAGCAATAAGCACGTATCTAGATGCTCATGGGGTCATGTGCCATGTTAATGGCGAAATTCGGAATGAACTGGATTATTTTATGAGTTAGGACTGTTTGAATTTGTCGCACTGAGAATACAAACAGAGAGCATTGAAATTGAAACAGTGGCAATAATTTTCAGTTTGGAGGATTCGAAGCCGTTGCAACGAAATTTCTGTTATTAGGTACTCATATATTCCATTATTTTTTCTACTCTTACTTATTGTGTAGTTGAAACCTTTATTCTCATATATTCCATTATTTTTTCTACTCTTACTTATTGTGTAGTTGATACCTTTATTCCATTATTATTACTGTTTTGCTAAGACTGGAGCTAAGAAATCTATTGTTTGGGAACATTTCGACAAAATAGAAAATGGTCAAGTTCAGTGTCGAATTTGCAAGTTTTTTGGTAACACTACCAATTTAAACCAACATATAATTTATTTTCATTTTTGTGAGGACTTTTATTTTTCGATTGTTTTCAATATATTTTAACAAGCCACAAGCAACCATTAAATTTCAATAAAGTTTGTACTTGTAATTATTCAAAGTTTATCGTCAACAAATTTCTGAACATTTTCAGCCCAAACCTGTATTTCACCACATCCTACAAAGAAGTGTCGGTATATAGGCCGACACTGCACTGGTGCGTAGCGGCGCAAGCCTTTAATACTGTTCTCAACAATTTCACTCACTACTAATTTGTTTCGATACATTCAACATTCGAATGATCTGAATCATTCGAATGATTCCATATAACATCTCGAGATATCTCGAGTGATTGTAATAATTGAATGACCGATTATTTTTAATTCGAATGATCCCATACCCAATTCGTAACCTTTACTTCTAAATTCGTAAGTACCCACAATTTTTTTTTCAAGATCCGCAGTTGCAGCCTATCCGAAATTTTATCATTCTTGTGAATAATTTAATAAGCCTTTGAATAATTACGTCATGTTTGGACACAATATCACTATTTGAAAGTATCACCTTGTATGTCCTTGCGACATTTTGAGTTCTGTTTGAATTTTCTGACTGACAATATAACCCCAAAAATATTTTTCGTGAGTACAAAGCGAATTATGCATAAATAGTTTTTGAAAACATGAATCGCATACTTGAATTTTTACATAGAATAGTTTATCAGGGCAAAATAATGGTTATTAATATCATTACTAATAAAGTGTGATTTGACTGCAGTTAACTGGTTGACCCATATAAATTCATCATCCACTGTAAGCAAACGTTTTCAGAAATAGAGTAAGAATACAAATTACGGACATTATCAGGTATTGTATTTATCTCATATTTCATTTGAAATAAGTCCTTTAATAACCCTATTTGTTAAATTGTCGACCTACAGTTTGAAAGAATAAACTAAACCCTAAGAAAAATCTTAGAGAAGTCAGGTTAACAGGTTATTTCAAAAGATTAGCGGATCCAAAAAGTGGGTTGGTTTTATTTGATTTGTTTGGTAATTCAAGGTATTCTAACGAATACCAAACTATTCAAGAGTTAGATTTTGATATTGGTTCAACATACATTTATAATTTTTCACAGATTCAGAATAACTTTGTAGACAAATAATAAAAATGTCATGAAAAATGAGAAATAAAACTTTCTTTGTCACTTTCATTTGTATTTGCAGTTTCGTCCTATAAGGATATTTTCAAATATCATTAAATTAACAATAATTGATTACATTAGCCCTCATATAACACCACTGTAGGTGAAAATATATATTAAAAAAAACTTGAAATAATTGATAATGTTAGCCTAGTAAACTATGATCATTCAGCAGGTTACATCCACAATGCTTATGCTTATTAATTTCCAAGGATTCCAAATAATTGAGTTTTTAACCCTTGCTTGCATAGTGCAAAATTTCCGTATCGTTTAGATTCGGGAATTTGTGGTTGCATTCAAATCATTTTTACCTAGTCTGAAGGACCTTTCATGTTCAGAATACCGTTTTGAGAAATTTCGAAGGACCTTTCATGTTCAGAATACCGTTTTGAGAAATTTCGGCCACATTGACCACTGTAGTAACGTTAATTACAAATAAAAGTGGTAAAAAACAAAGAAAGTTTTATTTCTCATTTTTCATGATGATTTTGTACCACATAGTATAATGGCTACATCCATCAATTTATTGAAATAAGAAATGTATTTATCAATATAGAAATCCTAATATACAAAAGTGAAAATGTCAACTTGTAACAATATCATTTGATAGAAGAAAGGAGTTGAAAGTAATGTCTAAACCTATTGTTCACATAACAATACAATGTCTAATGATGCAAATTATATAAATAAATCCATATAAATAAAACAAATATAGGGGTGGAATTCAAAGTGATCAATTGATTTGCTACATTCAATTTCACTAGGAAGTTGATTATAATCTGAGAGTCTTCAAAAGTTTTGTCCGTTTTTATGAGTCTAGTTTAAACTGTAATATCAATAATATTTCAATAGACGCAGCCATATTATGAAATAAATTAAGCACAAAGTTTCTCGGTGTATTCATTGATAATAGGCTGAAATTTGATGAACACCTTAAACAACTGAAGAGTAAGATCTCCTCCGGATGTTATGTAGTTAGAATGGTTTCAAATGAGTTGGGTTTCCATGCCGCAAAGACCGTTTACCATACACTTATTGAATCTCAACTAAGTTATGGAATACCTTTTTGGGGAGCATGCAACTCATCCCTTCTCTCTTCTGTATTGATATTACAGAAGAGGGCACTAAGATGTCTCTGTGAAGTCAAACCCAGAGAATCTTGCAGGAATTTGTTCACTGCCAATAAAATGTTAACAGTCATCGCACTTTTTATCTTAGAGACGGTTTGCCTTATTTATAAACATAAATCGAAGTTCAACTTTGCTTCTACTCCTTATGCTACTCGAAATAGCAATTATACCTTTAAACTTCCCATTTCAACTTCCAACTATAGTATATGAAATCAAGGATTCCATATACCATAATGGTGGTAAATTGTTCAATCATTTACCATTAGAAATGAGATCTGCAAATTTAAGCAACATTCATTTCAAAAAGTCGGTGAAGAACCTACTTATTAACAGACCCTATTATAGTTTGGAAGAGTATGTTAGCGAATCCTTTTAACAATATTTCAGCAATTTATTATTTGTACTATCACATGATGGTATTTTTATCTATACATTTTTATAACTTTTTTTCATATTTACATTTATACATTTTTGTAACTTTTTTATATCTACATTTAAATTTTTTTAGTACTTTTTCTATATTAACATTGTATTTCTTGGACTCTGTCAATAAGATGCAAATCTACGGACAATAAAGTATATTTTGATTTGATTTGATCTCAGTGAAGAATATTTTTGATGGTGTCTAACGCTTAACAAAAATAAATTTCGCTCTTTATTTTTAATTAAATCTGGGATAGTTATCAGTATTTTTTGTTCTTTATTTGTATATATTTATTTGAAAATAAAGACGATCATTACACTTATTTATTCAAAATAAGCTTCATTTGAATCAGAGAACTTTTACCAAAGTAACACAAGTCGATCAATTCCGTCAGCATTAAAATCGTGTGCTCGGGATTCGATGAAGGTTTTGTCTGGTCCTGATTGGCGGGAAAGTTGCGAAGTGCTTGAAAAGATAGTAGTCGGTTGGCGAGGGGTCTGGGTATTTATTATAGAAGGTGAAGCAGAACTTCTATGCTCAATTGTTGAGAGGTGATTTGTGAAACGTGCGGACGGGCGTTGTCGTGCAGCAGGATTGGACCTCTTCTGTTGACCAGTGCCGGCTCCTGCTGACGCAATTTTTCGTATATTTCTTCGATATCCTCGCAATAGGACTGCTGTGATTTTTTGGCCCTGTTGCAGAAAGTTATAGTGAATCACACCAGCCGCTGAACACCATACAGTAACCATAATATTTTTTTGTGGGTTTTGTCCTTTGGGAAATGCCTGACTGGTTCATCGGTGACCAACCACTGTCCATCAATGTATAGAGTACAAAATTCTCTATCAGTATATACCATGACACATTTATTGAGATATGGGGCTACGAAAACACATGACATTAAAACGGACAAAACTTTTGAAACAACCTAATAATGAGAGCCTATCGTGAAGTAAGCTCATTGTCTACAAATTCTCCCTCTTGTGTTGAATCATATTGTTATTTGAAACACGAGATATGTTGGAAAGTATTGCTATAATACTTAGTTTTTATAGATTTAGTTGTGGAAGTATATGTGGTAGCTGTTTTGATGTTGTGTAATTATATGTTAATGTTTCATGCAAATCAATCCTTTCAATTTGGCTCTATTTTTAATTTTAATCTGTTAAATGTGAGTGGTAAATTTTGTATATTCTGCTAACACTGGGAAGATGTATTTTTTTGAGAAAAATTTTGCTTGAATTGACACCAGAGCTCTTGAAGAAACAAGATGGATCAGATGACAGGTCTGACAACACTGTAAATGAAAATTTGAGTAGTAATACACAGATTTAAAAAAAATTCTTCAGATGTCATCACATATAGCTAAATGAAAACCATACAGCTAGACCAAGAAGACAGCACTCATTCAAGGTGTCGCTATTTATACGCATGTCCTTCATCAAGTGAATTGTTGAAGTTATGCATTACACTGAGACATTTTGTGAATCTTCTTACAAATTTGACCTTCGTATGTAAATTCCCTTTCATTATCAACTCAAAATGATGCAGAGATGACTTTAACAACAGTATACTGATTTAAGTTGATTGATGTTAAAAATGAGTTCACGTTTGTGATGGAATAGTCAGGGTTAATTATTAAACTAAAAATATATTATTCATATAGGATTTAGTTTGAATAATTTTATGTTTGAAACTACAGTAGAGCTAACGCTAGATTCCTAATATTGCTTAAAAATATTATTTTTATGGAGAATGGCAATTTATTACCGTTTTTTAGATGGTTTCTTCCACAGTGAAAAAACATATTGGATAGCTATACAAGTAAAGCTGTTCTTATATGAATTTTCAAATAACAAATATAGATACCTATTTTTGACATTTCCTTAAGAAAATTACGGAAGAATGAACTACCTATTGAAATCATACTGGAAGAATGCAATTAATGTTAATAGATTGTTTAGTTATTTGAGATTCAATACTATTATATCCCTTTTTCTGTAATGAATATGTACAAATTCTTGTTTTATCAAAATTATTGTCGATGTAACATCAATAATGTAATTTTTTTATTTTCGCAGAGTTTGCCGAATATGATCCATTCGGATACCAATGCTCAGAATTTCAAAGAGGAACTGAGTCACCCTCTAGAAGACATCATGCAGAAGGCAACAATTGAAGTTGAAAATATTTGAGTTGAGGATTTACTAGGTGTTGGTTGTGACTTCTACATGGTGAGTACTTTTTCCCATTTTCACCACGCCACGTTTTGACATAACATACAACGCTAAAAGATATTAACAACAGTGTTTTTGCCTATAAAGGGTGGCCCAAAGGGAGGTTTTTTTTAGTAATATTTTATTACACAACTATTAGGAATTCTTGCAAGAAATTCATGCATGAAAATAATTTTAAGTTACAAAAATGTCAATTTTCAAAAATTCAGGTTCAAGCAGGCAAAGTTGAATATTCAACTAAAAATCGTTAAAAACAATGGTACCCGATGCTAATTGCCAAGGTTTATTCAGAAAATACAACAAATGATGTAAGCAAACAACACAACTCTTCAGTTGAATATTTGCTGAACATCAAATTTTTATTTTAGTCAATGAATATAAACTTAATTTAATCAATTCATTTCATAACAGTTGGAAACTGAGCATTATTAATAATACTTCAAAGGAATTATGCCTGCCATATTTTTCAAAAATTTTAAGCATTTGATCCACTTTTCTGAAGATAGCGTGAGTTGTTTATGTTTAAATCATCTTGTATAACATTTCAAAGAATTTTTTTTTAAAGCTTTTATTTAACTTGACTTGTATGTATGTTAACAAATCTTGCAAGCTTAATTTGACCCACTTCCTGAAGGTGGCATATTTTTCCAGATACAAGACTGTTGAAAAATAGCATATTTTACCTTCAATATGTAGAAGGCTTTTGATACTGTCAACCTTTACTACCTAATCGTCAAACTCTATTACTATGGGTTTAATTGTCGAATTACAGAATAGCTCAAAGCCTATCTCTTCAACCAATCACACTGTAAATGACCACCCATAACAGTACTCTCTTCAGACACTCGTTTTATCAATAATGGCGTACCTCATGGTACTTTTTTTACATCTGACTTGCAGTGATTAATGGAATACTGTAATCAAGCTGATAAAAATAAACAACGATTTTACAACCATAAAGAGGTGGTCTGAGGAAAACTCCCTATTCCTGAATCCCGCAAAAAGCCAAAATTTTCTTATTGGGTCATCCTTCAACTTGAGGAGTTCCCTATATGTATTAACAACGAATTCATTCCTTCTGTTTCTGAAGCTAAATGTCATGGCGTTATTTTTAACTAACAGCTCAAAATCTGATGAGTGCATTTATGTTCATAATCATATTCAAACATATATGTATGTATACATATGTGTATGTGTATTTATATTTATATTTTTTTCAGTTTCAGTGCCGATTTACCTTTTTTGTGCTCTGTCCGTACTTAGTTATGTTATAGTTGGTTTTTAATTATTGTTTTTTCCCAGCTATACACATTGTATGTTTCTCGAGAAAATAAATCATTGTTATTATTATTAGGTGTTGTCACAAAGAGAACCTACCTAAGCTTAAAAAATTGTCCCCTCGCATACTAACTATGTTGACTTAGTTTACATTATATGCTGATCTTGTTTATCACATGGAAGGCGTGCAAGATTGCAAATCATTCGTTTTATAAAAGCGGTTCTCCCTCAAGCACCATATCACCCCCCATATTAGGGAATTGCATCTTTTGAAATTGGATGAAACGTGTTTTGTTCATTGCACTTGTCTTGGCTACTGGACTAACCAAGTAACTTGCCTTAAAATTAGTTCGAAGGGAGGACATTCACAACAGATCCTTGAGGAACATAAATGATAGATTTTCTATTCCTGACCATCGTTCTTCATTTTTCGAGGCATTTTTTTTCTGATTTAGTACCTTTTTTTAAAATAATATGCCCTCAGAACATTGTAATTAATATGTTCGTACTCTGAAGAAAAATCTCAAAGGCTTTCCTGAATGGGCAGCAGAATTCAATAAAGTTCAGCAAATTTTAATCATATCAGTTTGTTTGAATCATGTTTTTTTAGGCTTGCTTGATAATTTTCAAGAGTACTTGCTCCTTATTTTCTATTTGAAGTGGTAAATTCAATTCTTTCTTGTTAGAATTGGACAAAATGAATTGCATAACTTTGTGACAGGTCTTGAAGTATCTTGAAGAGTCAAACAGCACTCAAACTGGTATAAGAATCTTCATGTATTTTATATTGTGAATCAATATAAATAGTGAAAATATGATTTTCTTCAACACTTATAATGAACATGAAAAGTACAAAGAAAAACATTGATGAGTTAATAGAAGAAAAAGAAAGAAATATTTATTTACGAGTAATTCTCCAAAACTTGTCTGTAGGTGATCACTCCACAAATGTCCGTCGCGGTATTAGCCAGGAAGACATTTATTTTCTAGCAAGCATTTGCCAGATTCTACTGTGTAGGACCATAGGACCAATTCGAAATATTTATTTTCTTAGTATCTCTCATCACAAACTGATTTGTTATTTATTAACCAAGTTTGCAGATGTTATTTCATCACTACTAAGTAACTACTTGAAATTAATACCATTTTTTTTTTCAGGGATCATCCGATATCTCGACAGCATTTACTGCCATCTTCCGTTCTGTTCAGGGCAATAGAAATTTTTGTTTTAGGTCTAATAGTATTGTAACTAAAATTTCCTTACTGTACTGTAAAATTGAAGTGGAAATCATTGTATAGAAATTTCTGTATGAGATTATGCATTTCAAGTAAACATTTATTTTTTAAATTTTCATTAGTTTGGATTTTGTGGTGAAGAAGTGAAAATAAACATGTGATTTATATCCTTTATTTCCTGGGAGATGTAAAGTGGTAAGTAAATATTTATCAAAAAAATATATTAAAAATGTGTAATCAACTATTTATTGGTTACTACATTAGGGTTTTCTCTGCTAAATAAATATATAAAAGACATCTAAAAATTATCACTTTTTACAACAGCCCCACAATTACATTAGATCACGTCTCTGACTCCGAATTCTCTTCAACAGTAGACCAAGAATCTGAAAAAAAATTACATGTTGATAAACCAAAATAAACCATACACAATATCGGTAAGTGGGACATCAAAAATACAGCCAAGCAGAACTGTTAGGAAAATAACTCTTCACAAAAATCTTAAAATATAAGTTTGCTCCTGAAGAGGACTTTTAAACAGCTGGAATACCCTTCAAACTGAAACTACAAATAAAATTAGGTTGCGTGATACCTCATATAAGGACTTCGACAAAAAATATATCGGTCAGATTAAGCGAGCCATTAAATCTCGTTTCAAAGAATACGTGGTACATCCGATTTCGAGGATCAGAAAAATCTAATGTCTCTCAATACACCTTACAGGACGGCCATAGAATAAATGGAAACTGTCTGAAATCGTTGAGACCGGTTCATTTCTGGATCTGGTCTGGATATAGCAAAATGTGGCATGAGAACTATGATCAGTGACAAAGGTCCCATTCTGAACAGCCTATTGTATTCCTTTTTACAAATCACTCTGTCTGAGGTACTGCTTCAACTTTCCTCTTTGTCTTCGTACCCTTTCTCGAAGAGCCCGGTCACACTCTTCCAAGTCTCGACGGCAATTGACCCAATAGTACCTCTCACGCACTCTCGCTAGGGTTCTATTTACTTCAAAATGCCCTCCAGTGCGACCATCGTGGAGCTGTTCAAGTATATTTGGGATACACGTCTTTGGTAAGATTATCTGGAATTTGTGGGTTCTTCCATCGGAGCTTTCCCATTTCCGAGTGAGTAGGTCATCTCAAATGCACATGGAGTCCCACTGGATTCAGCAACCTTTTTCCTGTTGGCCGTACAAGGAGTTCTCTTGCCATTCTGGCCTCACTCCTTTGTCAATCCATTCTTGTACAGTTTTCAAGACCAGATCCTCCTTCTGCGCTATGATGATCTCTTGCCTCCTCATAAAGGTAGTGTCACCCTCAGAGGGTATTAATGAATGTACCACGCCGTGGTCAGGTGATTCCTCAGGTTTCCTGTCCGTATCCCTAAATAAGGGACCTCTACAGGTTGCTACCCTCCGGGTCAGAGGAAACCCGAAGCGGCGGGAGGTAGGGGAGAACACGTGGTACATCCGATTTCGAGGATCAGAAAAATCTAATGTTTCTCAATACACCTTACAGGACGGCCATAGAATAAATGGAAACTGTCTGAAATCGTTGAGACCAGTTCATTTAAGTCTGGATATAGCAAAATGTGGCATGAGAACTATGATCAGTGACAAAGGTCCCATTCTGAACAGCCTATTGTATTCCTTTTTACAAATCACTCTGTTGAAATTTGAGGGAACTTTCACAAGAAAATTTCCAATAAATTTCTACTTATTGTTGATGTGTATCGGAAAGTGGACGTGTTTTCTGATATAAATGGAGACAAGTTAGGAACTAGTTTTCTTATCCTGAAGACGCCAACTAGGTTGGTGAAACGCTCGTCAAAAAGAGTACTGCATTTCTAGTGATTGGGAAAAGTGCTCGTTTTGGAGGCCATCATATTAATGTGAATGTTGAAGATTAATTTCTTCGGACCGATTTAAAGTTCTTGTTATTCAGAGAACATTGGGTCTTTTCTTAATGTCTAAAAACTGGTAATAATTACATGAATAGTATACACACGGAATTTTTAACTGAAAATAAAAAACACAAACAATCTTGAATTTGAAAAAGACAAATTCAAGTGAAAACTATTCCTCAATACTGTCGAAGCTTTTTCCCCGCCAAGGGATTCTAAACAGACTTTCTGAATTGCTTCAGGTCTTTGGTAACTGTTATTTGGTTCGGCACTTGACTCTACAATTGATTTCTCCAATATATTGGAGACTTTCATTAGCGATGAACAACGTAGTGGAAGAGTAATATTTTTTCTTGACAATTATTTTTTATTTTATTGTTATAAAATTCGTTTCTCTATTTTTGAAGCAAGATCGGTCTTCAGAATGAAAACTTTTAAATCAGGATTTTATTACCTTTGAAGAATCGTCAACATAAATCTCAAAAGTTTAAATTGTATACAATACGTAGGGCTCATTTCTGCGAGACAGATACATGCAATAACAGCAAGTTACATTTGATTTTTTCAGTTCTGGAAATGGAGACAGATTTTGGCCTCCAAAAAGTTGAGATAATTATTTGTCAAAATTATTGAATACAAGTTACAAATAAATTCACACGGTAACTTGTCAGGATGAACTAAAAAATTTGCCAGTTTGCCATTGCAATTTTTTATGCTTTCAGATTGTGAATCGATTTGGCTGCAGCTTCTAAAAATTTACCCATTTTGGAATTGTTTTTGCACTAGAAAACATTCTCTGAAATACCTTCATTTTTTTTCTTGCATGGTTAAAAACGTTTAGCGAAAAACAACCAACATTTTCTACTCACCATCTGATGAATTGGCATCTCTAAGTTCTTCTATATTCATTCTTTGAGGAGGGGGTCGAGGCCTAGGGACCCTTCGAGTCTGTACATTGATATTAAGTTGCATTCTAACATCTAATACCATAAAACCTACAGTTATGAGAAGAGGAAGGCGATATCTACAATCCCAAGCTAACTTCAATAAGAACATCAATGGACTCATATTGATAAAAATATTAACCTGCAATACAGTTTGAATATTAGAATCGTTGGCTATGAAGATTTTACTTATACAGCCACACAATAAAAAACATTTTTTTGGTTCCGAAGATTGTAGAATTAATTATTTTTGAGGCATTGAATCTGAATAAGTAATTACTTTTTCTTTTTTTACTCAACAGAATAGCATTTTCAAGAAAATACCGTCTGTTTGTACAAAACAGTTTTCCCTTTATGTTTATGGATGAAACATATTTTCTAAAGGCAGTCTAAAATAAATTTGGCAAGATGACATAAAAACTATATATGTGGTGTTAGCCGAAAAAAGTACATGGTGTACAAAAACTAGTTCTTGAGAAAAACACGTTCAAAGTTTCGCAGTCTATTACTACTATGTAGTGGAGTATACTCCGGTGGAGTATAAGATCTTGTTATCATTGGTCTGGATATCTGTAGTGTCTGGCCGAAACTGGTTTTTACAACCGAATTTCGGCAATGGTCTCAGTTTCGGCCAAAACCGAAACTTCCTTACAAGGATTATGTTTTTGAGGGAAATATAAAGAAAACATTATAATCAGTCAGTATTCATTTTTTCATCTTTAAATCACAACGTTATGCAGTCTTTGGCATTTTCACTTATTGATAATCAACAAGAAAAAATATTAATTACACTTAAAATAAGCGAGGTCTTTTTTTGAGTAGGTGTAGATTCTTCTTTTGAATATTATTAATGGTTTTTCAAAAATATTAAACATAATATTACTTATTTAAGTTGTTACCTAATATCCCAATATGTACTTAATATTTATGTAATAATTAAGTTTTCTGATTGATTCGGCCGTTACTTGATGAAGATCCATAGTGATTTAGAAAACTACACCTCACGATTTGATCTTCACAAACTTTATTTTGAAAAATATATCACAACATAATCACAAAATATATCACAACATCGAGAAGTCAACATAATCTCAATCTCAGTTTCCAAAATAAACCTTTAGAACTGACCAGCTCGACAAAATTCTTAGGAACTATGGTTGACTCACTCCTCACATGGCAAGAACATATAGATTATATATGTAAGAAATTGAATCAATCATACTATCTGATTGTTTGAAACTGAATCATTTGGAAGCAATGGAAATTAATAAACTTAAAAATTCAAACATTCTAATAAATGACCAACTGGATTTGAATAGATCACCATTATTGATGTAGATGTGAGGTAATATGCTTCAGATAACCATAGTTGAACAGGTACCTTAGGTAGAGGTTTAGGTAATTTTTTGAGGTAGTTTCAATTGTGGTTACCTGTAGTATATAAATATTAATGTAAGAACAACATGAAGTATAAATCACTTAAAAAAGCTAATGTGCTAGCCAAACATGTGATATATTTTTCAAAATAAAGTTTGTGAAGATCAAATCGTGAGGTGTAGTTTTTAAAATTTCTATTAAGTGACAAGTAGATTTATCATTGGCATCTTAAAGCCCTTCTCCTTTTTCTGAAGACGCCATTCTAGAAGAACAAGATGGCTGTGGATCTCCAGAATGACAGTTTTTACTTATTGTATCGCTAATGTCTTGCATTCACATCTTCAAATGGTTTTCTATTTCCAAAGTGGCAATGTCAACTTCATCAGAATTCAAATATGTACTTTTAAATCTTGGATCCAGTAATGTTGAAGTTATTAGAGCAGGATGTCCTTTGACAATTCTGTGGCATGAAAAGAATATAAACACCCTGCAGAGCAACGTGGAGGGTGATCTCAAGACAGTAAAACAGTGGTGTGATGATAATCTTTTAGCATTCAACACAAAAAAAACCAAAGTAGTCACTTTCAAGTGTACCCTAGCAGAACTATTTCTAGGGGAAACCATGATTGAAGATAACCCATCTACGAAATTCTTGGGGCTTCAAATAGATGGTAGACTAAAATTTGAGGACCACATAACAAACCTTAAAAAAAAAATTGCCTCAGGATGTTATGCTCTCAGAGTGGTTTCAAATGAATTGGGATTCCAGGCGGCCAAATGTGCATACTATGNGTTTCTCATTATTTCGCTTTCATTTTCATCTCTAGTTTGCAGCTTTCTATTTAGCAGTGATATCAAAGGAATTGCAATGGATATGCATGCGTTATTATATGACAGATCAAGTGTAGCTTCATAAAAAACTTTAGTACCTCAGTAAGATTCTTTATAATTTCCTAGTCCAAAGCGAAAGAATGTCAATACTGCCATGTTCCAAGCTGTACAAATTTATGGCAGTTTTTTGTTCATACAATCTTGCTAACATGTTGTCTGTTCCATCTAGTTTCAATATCCTGAATTAATGAATGTACTGATAATCCGCATTGATATTGACATTCAGTCAGCTTCGTTTGAAGTGGCCTACTATATGTCTGCAAGTTTTAATGACTTGTTCATGTTCTCCCTCCGAAAATAATGTATCTTTTACTACCAACTGTAAAGTGTGTGACATGCAGCCTAAAGATTCAAATTGACCCCGCATAACGCTTACCATATTTTTTGTATTGTGACATAAAAGTATAAATAGTTCATTACCGATATTCCATTTGTCTATTATTTCTCGCAATTTTTCTTCAATGTACGATCCGGTGTGGTCATTTTCGAGTACTTGGGCACCTAGTATAACTTTTTTTTTGGTCCAACAATAAAATGGCCAGTAAGACTTAAAGAGTGAGCATGTTTTAGGAGGATTTGTCCATATTAAAGTGGTTCTAAAATATGTTTCTGATTTCAAATTTTACTTTTGGGGACCATGAGGGTCTGTAAAATTAAGTCTTTTGAATGCCTCACTATCAACTATCTGTGTGATACTTCAAGATGACCTGGCCATTTTGATGATTCCAACTCACTGGTATTAATCCTATCGAGGAAAGACTACCATCACTTACTCAGAAGTTTGCTAGAAAAGACGACAATGAAGAAATCATTAGAAAGTATGTTGTCAAAAGAAACCTCCATTCAAGAGTACGACATCGCCACGCACCAGAAACACTGTTAGAAAAATTGACACAACTTCATCAGTGAAATTGTTTTGTTTGTTCATTTTTATCTCCATATATTTTTATTTTTTTTTGATATTGTAAAATAAGCTATGTTATTTCAAAGCAATTTTGTTACACAGGCGGAAGGACTCCGGTCGATAGCCAGTTGAACAAAATTGTAATTTTCTTCAATAAATTACAATCATTATTATTATTATTCAACCCAGCCTCTGCGCGATGTTAGGGATTGTGGTCTGCACCAGTTTGATACCGATGCTACTGCCACCGTCAATGGTGGTTACTGAATTTTTGTGATTCACATCGCACATTCACATTATTTTAGCTTCAGATTTGTGCTTGTTGATTTCCAACTGGCGTTTTAGATGTTCTTATCTATAGTTTTTTCATTCATAATGCACTCATCCAACCATTTTTAAACTTGAACGAGCTTCAAACTTTTTTTTCTAATTTTTAAGAACGCATCCAATATTTTTAAAACTCCATAGCTTATCGTTGATACCGGGGTTCCCCACGCAATTTAACTCTTACTTCGAGGTTATGTTACGTCATTATAATACAAACGATATTAGATCGCTCTAGGATCACGTATCGATTTTCAGCCATCCAGCGACATGTTGCGCAAATTAAATGTATGGATGTACAAAAGAATAAATTCTTCGACTCTTGCGTCTGGTGTTGCGTGTATTGAATCTGATAACGACTAATATTTAATTTATATCCATACATGGCACTGTGCAATAATAACCTATGCTACAAATTCGTGATTTAATTATTATAGATTTCATCTATCTATTAGGCACTTCCACGTGCCAATCACAGCGCAAGAATTCCCGAATTCAGTTTCGATTTCTGTCGTAGTTTCGGCAGGTATGCCGCCGAAACCGAAACCCGTTTTTTTGCCGAAACTCAACCGAAACCGAACTTTCGGTCGGACACTAGATATCTGTGACATCATTCCTTCAATCTGCGATGTTTATTTTCGTTGTAGTGTGGCGGTAGCTTCAGTTATCGAGTCTGGGATTGGGCTATAACGTAGCCAAATCACCGTATAGAAGTAAACACAAGTAAGTTCACTCTCCGCCATATTTCGATCAAGATTCCCCACCTCGAATTTTATGCTCAGCCGACCTACAGCGCGACGGACTGAATCTGATGCCTTTACCAAGCGAGCCAGTCAAGTTTTCAGTCATTCGGTAGCCACAGCGATGAATACCTATGCCAGTTTCAATCAGATGCCATCAGCAGCACTAGGAACAGCTACATTCATTGAAAAAATGGATCAAGTGTTTGATATTTTAAATTCAAATAGATTTGACGATGTGAAAGATTTCAATAAACCTTTTTTTGGAACATCAAAACATTGTAATTTGGAACACAAACCTTTCCGACGTTGGGGTTGGTAAACCAACCGCATCGCCTTCCTTGAAGCTCAGTGGCAGCGACTTTTTGTCAAATCTTATCTTCATCCTGCATTTCATCAATGTTTTATTCTGTCGCTGGGAAGCTGTAATTTGGATCTGGCAAGTTTGTGTACAATTTCCAGTCTCTTCTTCAGGACATTTAAATACTACCTCAGAATCATCAGATGTGCTGCCACACAATACATCTATCGGAAGTTTCAATTCTCGACCTGTCGCATCGTGTTAGGAGCTCCTGTATGCCAACAGAAAGAGAGGAACCAATTCATCCCAGTCTCTTTGGTTTTCGGAGACAAACATCGAGAGGTGCGATTATGCCTCTTGACCATTCCATCGGACTGTGGGTGAAGAGCAGTTATTCTTGTCTTCTTTATTCTCAACAAAGTCATCATCTCCTTCCATAAATCCGATTCGAAGTTGCGGCCCTGATCAGAGTGTAGGTCCTGGGGTACTCCGTGTCTGGCAATTACGTTCTCCAATAGGGCTTCTGCCACTGTTTTCAGGCCATTTGCAAAAGTAGTCCATAACATCCATAAGGTAGTTGTTATCGGATGTGGTCATAGGGAGTGGTCCCAGAATGTCAACTGCGATCCT